ACCACGGCCACCACCGCCACCACCCCGACTGCCACCTCTGCCCCCTCCACGACCCCCTCTGCCGCCGTTGCGACCACCCTGGGTGCGCGGCTGCGTGGAATTGAGGGAGGTAGAGGAGGAGTGAGTGGTAGTGAGGTTGACAATGGGGGTGCGGAGCTTGACCTCCGTGTCAATGATCCACTGGGTCACTTCGGGGAGGCCAGCCAAGGGGTTTGCCTCGGTGAAGGCGTGAAGGCGGGACTCATAGTCTGGCGTGAGGTTGAAGAGCAGACGGTGGATCTGCAGGGGCTCGGAAAGGGCAGCCTAGCGAGCGGCAAGGCGATCAGCGACCTCCTGCATGCGCCCGACATAGTCGACTGCGCCGTCGCAGGTGGCAAGGGTGATGGAGAAGTACTCATGGAATAGAACGCTGACGGAGCTGATGTCGCGACGCTCGAACATAAACTGGAGCTCGATCCAAATGAGGTGAGCGCGCATCTCGCGAGCTTGGAAGCGGCGCATGAGGGCGTCAGGAAGTGCACCGAGGAGGATGGTGCAAGCGCGGTTGTCGGCAGCGGCCCAGGCGATGCTGTTGGGGACATAAGCCGCCATGGAAGTGTTGTACTCCGCAATCAGCGCCAGGCGAGTGGTACGCTTTGACGATGCAAACTCGTAGTTGAGCACAGCAACGTCATGGTCGGCCTTGCGGATGAGGTATTCGCGGCGGTTGTGGAGGAAGGTGGCGTCCGCAGCAGCCTGAAGCTCAGGGGTAGCGGCCACGGACAGGTTAGGTTCAGGAGGAGGGGGGCCAGGGCGGGAAGGGAGAGGGGGAGGCTCGCCAGGGTGATTGGGTGCGGTCGGTTGGAGAGCCTGCGGACGGCAAAGGAGAACGTCAAGGACGCAGTAGGGTCCGACGAAGGCGTCTTGAAGGACGCGGCGAATGCTGCCGACGAACGAGTGCCAGTTGATGGCGGAGCGATCTGCAGCAAGCTGCAGCTTGTCAACCGAGGAGGCGTCGATAGGAGGGGGGAGATGGACAGGAGGGGTGGTGGCCATGATGGGCGGGGGCGGGTGGACCCGCGGCGACCAAGGAGGAGACGACGGCGGTTGGACCCGCGGCGGTCAACGGGGAGGCGACGGCGGATGGACCCGCGGCGGCCAGGGAGAGGGGGAGGCGCTGTAGCCGGAGCGGGGGCACTCCGCAGGCTGCTGCTGCTGCTGGACCCCTCCGGCTGTTGCTGCTGCTGCGGTAGCCGCTGCTGCCGCTGATGCTGCAGATGGGGCTGCTGCCGCTGCTGCCTGCTGCTGCTGTTATGCTGCTGTTGCTGCCGCTGCTACCGCTGCTGCTGCTGTCGCTGTTACCGTTGCTGCTGCTGCTGCCGCTGCTACCGCCGCTGCAAAGGAGAGGGGAGAGGGAGAGGAGGAGGGAGAGGGGGGGGGGGGGAGGGGGGGAGAGGGGAAGGAGGGTGCAGTCACGGGTGCGGTTGGCACGGCTGCCGCTGCTGCCGCTGCTGCCGGGGATGCCGCTGCTGCTGCGGCTGCCGCTGCTGCTACCGCCACTGCTGCTGCTATCGCTGATGGTGCTGCTGGCGCTGCTGGCGCTGATGTCGCTGCTGCCGCTGCCGCCGCTGCTGTAAGGAGAGGGGAGAGGGGGAGGGAGAAGGGGAGAGGGGGAGGAGAAGGAGGGTGCAGTCACGGGTGCGGCTGGCACGGCTGCCGCTGATGTCGCTGCTGCCGGTGCCGCCGTTGCTGCCGGGGATGCCGCTGCTGCTGTTGCCGCTGCTGCTGCTGCTGCTGTTGCCGCTGCTGCTGCTGCTGCTGCTGCTGCTGCTGCTGCTGCTGCTGCTGCTGCTGCTGCTGCTGCTGCTGCTGCTGCTGCTGCTGCTGCTGCTGCTGCTGCTGCTGCTGCTGCTGCTGCTGCTGCTGCTGCTGCTGCTGCTGCTGCTGCTGCTGCTGCGAGGAGAGGGGATAGGGAGAGGCGGAGGGGGAGGGGGAGAGGGGGAGGGGAAGGAGGGTGCAGTCACGGGTGCGGCTGGCACGGCTGCCGCTGCTGCTGCTGCTGCCGCTGCTGCCACCGCTGCTGCCGCTGCCGCTGCTGCCGCTGCTGTAGCTGCTGCCGTGCTGCGAGGAGAGGGGAGAGGGGAAGGCAGGCACGGGTACGGCTGCGACGGGTGATGTCGCTGCTGCCGCTGCTGTAGCTGCTGCCACTGCTCTGCTGCTGCCGCTGCTGCGGCGGCTGAAATGACGGGGAGAGAGCGGTGAGGGGGGGGGGAGGGTGTAGTGGCGGCGAAATATGCAGGGGGCGAAGGGGTCGCGGTGGCGGGATGGGCAGGCAGCGACGATGTGGTCGCGGCGGCGGAAACCGCGGGCGCTGACGGCGCGATCACGGCGGGGAGGGGGGGGGGCAGTCGCGGTGGCGGGATGCGCAGGCGGCGACTGTGTAGTCCTGGCGGCGGAAATCGCGGACGACGGCGGTGCAGTCACGGCGGTCGAAAGTTCGGGCGACGGTGGTGCAGTCGCGGCGGCGGGACGTGCAGGTGACGACGGGGCAGTCGCGGCGGTTGGATGTGCAGGCGGCGATGGAGTCGCGGCGGCAGGATGTGCAGGCGGCGACGTGAAGTCGCGGCAGCGGGCCGGGCAGGCGACGACGCGAAGTCGCGGCGGCTGGTACAGCAGGCGGCGACGACGTGGTTGCGGCGACGGTGTGGTCGCGGCGGCTGGAAGGGCAGGCGGCGACGAAAGAGGTCGCGGCGGCTGGGAGGGCAGGCGGCGACGAAAAGGTCGCGGCGGCGGGGAAGTCCGCGGGAAATCCGCGGGTGGAGAGGCACGGGCGGCGAAATCCGTGGGACGCGGCTGCGGGGAGGCCGTGGGGAGGCACGGGCGGGGAAATCGGCGGGACGCGGCGGTGAAATTCGCGGAACGCGGCGGCGAAATCCGCAGGACGCGGCAGCGGGGAGGCCATGGGGATGCACGGGCGGGGAAATCCGCGGGACGCGGCGGCGAAATCCGCGTGACGCGGCCGCGATGAGAAAGTGCCGAGATGGGGAGGGGGAGGGGGGAGGGAACGACGGCGACGGAGAGACCGCGGTGGGAAGGGAGGACGACGGCGACGGTGATGTCGCGGCGTGAGGGAAGCTTATGGTGGGCCCTTGGGAAAAGAAAAACTGGAGGGAGAAGGGAAGGCCTTAGAAAAACGGTGCTCTGATACCATGTGAAGATTGAAAACTGAAGCATTAGCTTGATTAGAAAGTGAACAAGCATACATAGGTTAGGTTTGGGAAGAGAAGGTTGGAAGGGAAAGAAGGGAGGTGGGATTGGGGGAGTGGGCCAACCTACGGCCCATTGGGTTGGGTTGATCACACTTGGGAAAGTGGGCCAACCTATGGCTCATTGGGTTGGGTTGACCACATTTGGGAAGTGGAGCAACCTATGGCCCAGTGGGTTGGGTTGTTTGTAAAATGGGGTACCCTATGGCCCATAGGGCTGCATTTGAGGGCTCCACCACAATTGGGTTGGATTGGCACTCCAATATGCAAGACTACACCCAAAATTGGGTGTAGTCCCAACCCAACTGTACACCACAATTGGTGTACAGTCACAAGTGTTAGCATGCTAGAACATGGGAATTCTAACAATTTTCATCTCTACCCTCCTTTTCGTGTGTCCCTCTCTCCCCCCCGTCCTCCCAACTCCCCCTCTTCCTCCTTCTTGACAACAGCACTCTGCGCACGCAAGGCCTCTCTGGATCGCTGCCCGCAACCATCTCGTTGTTCTCAACGCTCACCTCCCTGTAAGGCCATGCCCGCACTCTCTCTCTCTCTCGCCACTCTCTCTCGCCACTCTCTCTCGCCACTCTCTCTCGCCACTCTCTCTCTCACCACTCTCTCTCTCTGGCCACTCTCTCTGGCCACTCTCTCTCTCTCACCACTCTCTCTCTCTCGCCACTCTCTCTCTCTCTCGCCACACTCTCTCTCGCCACTATCTCTCGCCACTCTCTCTCGCCACTCCCAGTTTTGTAACAGATTAGGTACGTTATCTTCATCTGTAATTGCTTTCTGCTTTACTCTCTTCCCGTTCTTGGCCTCTAGCAAGTTTCCCTCGTTGAGACACCTCTGATAATAATCTCCCTCTCACCCTTCCCCTCGTCTCCCTCTCCCCTCCCCCTCCACGCAGCGATCTGAGCTCGAACCTCTTCAACCAGCAGTTGGACGGCTTTCTCTGTTTTTTTTGTGCCTGGTTTCCCTTCCTCCCCCTCCCCCTCCCCTCCACCTCTTCCCCCCCTCCACGCAGCGACCTGAGTTCCGACCTCTTCAACCAGCAGTTGGACGGATTTCTCTCTTTCTCTCTTTGAGGCACCTCAAGAAACGTTTCTCTTCATTCCCTCCTCCCCCCTCTCCTCCTCCACGCAGCGACCTGAGTTCCAATCTCTTCAATCAGCAGCTGGACGGTTTTCTCTCTGACGTGTACTTGCTCACTCAACTCAAGCAGCTGTACGTCTCGTCTCTTGAAAGCTGACTGGGAGACGATTTTTGTGACATCTCAAAAATCTGTATCCTTGGAAATTCTCAAAAGCTTTCTCTTTGACGTGTTCTTCTTGCTCACTCAACTCAAGCAGCTATACCTCTCATCGCGTAAAGCAGAAGTTTGTCATCTGTAGCATCTTACTCACCCTGAACCGATCCCCCATGTTCTTTCGCCCTTCTCTTCTCCCTGACTGACCCTGCACGCAGGCTTCTTGGTTACAACTGGTTCTATGGCTCAATTCCCGCTGCCATCTCTCAGCTGTCCAAACTAACCGGCTTGTGAGTCATGCCAAGCTTCTTGGGTCACCTGAAAAAAAGAGGTGTCACATCACGCACACTATCCCGCTTCTTGAAGCATGCCATTCCATGCATTGCATTATATCCCTCCTTTCATTGCCTCCCCTTTCCACCAACACCGCCGCGGTGACCTCTGCTCCCTCTTACCCTTCTCCTTTCCTCCTCCACCGCTTCCCACCACCCTCCACCACCCCCCACCAGGTCCCTCTTCTCCAACTACCTCACCGGCTCGCTCCCCTTACTCCCCTCCTCCCTCCGTGCCCTCGACATAGCCTACAATTTCCTCTCCGGTTCCCTCCCCACCCTCCCCACCTCTCTCTCCCACTGCGCGGCCGAACACAACTGCTTAATCCCCGCCGCCGCCGCCCCCTGCGCTCGCTTCGGCTCCACACAGCGCCCGGCCGCAGTGGCGGGAGCAGCAGCAGCGACGGCAACAGAGCGGTGTGCGGTGTGTGGGATGGGGACGGCGACGGAAGCAAGCGGATGCTATGATGGGGAGTGTGCTGTGTCTGTGGCCCCAGTGGTGGCGCAGGCGGGGCCAAACGGGCCGGCTCAAGCCGTGCAGGACCTCCAGTGCTCAGGTGCGTGTGCTGTGAGAGCGAAGGAGAGGGGTGCTAGAAGGAGGGAGGTGCTTTGATGGGGAGTGTGTGGTGTCTGTGGCTCCAGTGGTGGCGCAGGCGGGGCCAAACCGGCCGGCTCAAGCCGTGCTGGGCATGCAGTGCACAGATGCGTGTGCTGGTTGTGCTATGTGGAGGAGGGGAGTGGGGGTGGAGAGGCTTGAAACCCCTGTTGTGGTTGCACCTGCTTGAAACCCCTGTTGTGGTTCCACCTGCTTGAAACACCTGTTGTGGTTGCACCTGCTTGAAACACCTGTTGTGGTTGCACCTGCTTGAAACACCTGTTGTGGTTGCACCTGCTTGAAACACCTGTTGTGGTTGCACCTGCTTGAAACACCTGTTGTGGTTGCACCTGCTTGAAACACCTGTTGTGGTTGCACCTGCTTGAAACACCTGTTGTGGTTGCACCTGCTTGAAACACCTGTTGTGGTTGCACCTTCTTGAAACACCTGTTGTGGTTGCACCTGCTTGAAACACCTGTTGTGGTTGCACCTGCTTGAAACACCTGTTGTGGTTGCACCTGCTTGAAACACCTGTTGTGGTTGCACCTCTTGAAACACCTGTTGTGGTTGCACCTGCTTGAAACACCTGTTGTGGTTGCACCTGCTTGAAACACCTGTTGTGGTTGCACCTGCTTGAAACACCTGTTGTGGTTGCACCTGCTTGAAACACCTGTTGTGGTTGCACCTGCTTGAAACACCTGTTGTGGTTGCACCTGCTTGAAACACCTGTTGTGGTTGCACCTGCTTGAAACACCTGTTGTGGTTGCACCTGCTTGAAACACCTGTTGTGGTTGCACCTGCTTGAAACACCTGTTGTGGTTGCACCTGCTTGAAACACCTGTTGTGGTTGCACCTGCTTGAAACACCTGTTGTGGTTGCACCTGCTTGAAACACCTGTTGTGGTTGCACCTGCTTGAAACACCTGTTGTGGTTGCACCTGCTTGAAACACCTGTTGTGGTTGCACCTGCTTGAAACACCTGTTGTGGTTGCACCTGCTTGAAACACCTGTTGTGGTTGCACCTGCTTGAAACACCTGTTGTGGTTGCACCTGCTTGAAACACCTGTTGTGGTTGCACCTGCTTGAAACACCTGTTGTGGTTGCACCTGCTTGAAACACCTGTTGTGGTTGCACCTGCTTGAAACACCTGTTGTGGTTGCACCTGCTTGAAACACCTGTTGTGGTTGCACCTGCTTGAAACACCTGTTGTGGTTGCACCTGCTTGAAACACCTGTTGTGGTTGCACCTGCTTGAAACACCTGTTGTGGTTGCACCTGCTTGAAACACCTGTTGTGGTTGCACCTGCTTGAAACACCTGTTGTGGTTGCACCTGCTTGAAACACCTGTTGTGGTTGCACCTGCTTGAAACACCTGTTGTGGTTGCACCTGCTTGAAACACCTGTTGTGGTTGCACCTGCTTGAAACACCTGTTGTGGTTGCACCTGCTTGAAACACCTGTTGTGGTTGCACCTGCTTGAAACACCTGTTGTGGTTGCACCTGCTTGAAACACCTGTTGTGGTTGCACCTGCTTGAAACACCTGTTGTGGTTGCACCTGCTTGAAACACCTGTTGTGGTTGCACCTGCTTGAAACACCTGTTGTGGTTGCACCTGCTTGAAACACCTGTTGTGGTTGCACCTGCTTGAAACACCTGTTGTGGTTGCACCTGCTTGAAACACCTGTTGTGGTTGCACCTGCTTGAAACACCTGTTGTGGTTGCACCTGCTTGAAACACCTGTTGTGGTTGCACCTGCTTGAAACACCTGTTGTGGTTGCACCTGCTTGAAACACCTGTTGTGGTTGCACCTGCTTGAAACACCTGTTGTGGTTGCACCTGCTTGAAACACCTGTTGTGGTTGCACCTGCTTGAAACACCTGTTGTGGTTGCACCTGCTTGAAACACCTGTTGTGGTTGCACCTGCTTGAAACACCTGTTGTGGTTGCACCTGCTTGAAACACCTGTTGTGGTTGCACCTGCTTGAAACACCTGTTGTGGTTGCACCTGCTTGAAACACCTGTTGTGGTTGCACCTGCTTGAAACACCTGTTGTGGTTGCACCTGCTTGAAACACCTGTTGTGGTTGCACCTGCTTGAAACACCTGTTGTGGTTGCACCTGCTTGAAACACCTGTTGTGGTTGCACCTGCTTGAAACACCTGTTGTGGTTGCACCTGCTTGAAACACCTGTTGTGGTTGCACCTGCTTGAAACACCTGTTGTGGTTGCACCTGCTTGAAACACCTGTTGTGGTTGCACCTGCTTGAAACACCTGTTGTGGTTGCACCTGCTTGAAACACCTGTTGTGGTTGCACCTGCTTGAAACACCTGTTGTGGTTGCACCTGCTTGAAACACCTGTTGTGGTTGCACCTGCTTGAAACACCTGTTGTGGTTGCACCTGCTTGAAACACCTGTTGTGGTTGCACCTGCTTGAAACACCTGTTGTGGTTGCACCTGCTTGAAACACCTGTTGTGGTTGCACCTGCTTGAAACACCTGTTGTGGTTGCACCTGCTTGAAACACCTGTTGTGGTTGCACCTGCTTGAAACACCTGTTGTGGTTGCACCTGCTTGAAACACCTGTTGTGGTTGCACCTGCTTGAAACACCTGTTGTGGTTGCACCTGCTTGAAACACCTGTTGTGGTTGCACCTGCTTGAAACACCTGTTGTGGTTGCACCTGCTTGAAACACCTGTTGTGGTTGCACCTGCTTGAAACACCTGTTGTGGTTGCACCTGCTTGAAACACCTGTTGTGGTTGCACCTGCTTGAAACACCTGTTGTGGTTGCACCTGCTTGAAACACCTGTTGTGGTTGCACCTGCTTGAAACACCTGTTGTGGTTGCACCTGCTTGAAACACCTGTTGTGGTTGCACCTGCTTGAAACACCTGTTGTGGTTGCACCTGCTTGAAACACCTGTTGTGGTTGCACCTGCTTGAAACACCTGTTGTGGTTGCACCTGCTTGAAACACCTGTTGTGGTTGCACCTGCTTGAAACACCTGTTGTGGTTGCACCTGCTTGAAACACCTGTTGTGGTTGCACCTGCTTGAAACACCTGTTGTGGTTCCACCTGCTTGAAATGAAACACCTGTTGTGGTTGCACCTGCTTGAAACACCTGTTGTGGTTGCACCTGCTTGAAACACCTGTTGTGGTTGCACCTGCTTGAAACACCTGTTGTGGTTGCACCTGCTTGAAACACCTGTTGTGGTTGCACCTGCTTGAAACACCTGTTGTGGTTGCACCTGCTTGAAACACCTGTTGTGGTTGCACCTGCTTGAAACACCTGTTGTGGTTGCACCTGCTTGAAACACCTGTTGTGGTTGCACCTGCTTGAAACACCTGTTGTGGTTGCACCTGCTTGAAACACCTGTTGTGGTTGCACCTGCTTGAAACACCTGTTGTGGTTGCACCTGCTTGAAACACCTGTTGTGGTTGCACCTGCTTGAAACACCTGTTGTGGTTGCACCTGCTTGAAACACCTGTTGTGGTTGCACCTGCTTGAAACACCTGTTGTGGTTGCACCTGCTTGAAACACCTGTTGTGGTTGCACCTGCTTGAAACACCTGTTGTGGTTGCACCTGCTTGAAACACCTGTTGTGGTTGCACCTGCTTGAAACACCTGTTGTGGTTGCACCTGCTTGAAACACCTGTTGTGGTTGCACCTGCTTGAAACACCTGTTGTGGTTGCACCTGCTTGAAACACCTGTTGTGGTTGCACCTGCTTGAAACACCTGTTGTGGTTGCACCTGCTTGAAACACCTGTTGTGGTTGCACCTGCTTGAAACACCTGTTGTGGTTCCACCTGCTTGAAACACCTGTTGTGGTTGCACCTGCTTGAAACACCTGTTGTGGTTGCACCTGCTTGAAACACCTGTTGTGGTTCCACCTGCTTGAAACACCTGTTGTGGTTGCACCTGCTTGAAACACCTGTTGTGGTTCCACCTGCTTGAAACACCTGTTGTGGTTCCACCTGCTTGAAACACCTGTTGTGGTTCCACCTGTACGTCCGCCCGATGGGTTTGCATGCTGTGGGTGGATGCCATGCCATGCCATGCCATGCCACATGCCGTGCCACGTGCCATGCTGTGCCTTGCCATGCTGTGCCTCACCATGCCAGCTGACCGGAACCCTTGTCAGCAACGACCTCTGGACGCCTTGTGTCTCTTCTGCCTTCCCTTATTCCCCCACCTCTCCAGAACCTTTGACAGCAACCTCTTCTGGACGCCTCTTGCCTCCTTCGTCTCCCACTTGCCTTCCCCCACTCTTCCCAACCGTCCAACCTTCCCCCCCCCCCTCCCTCTCCCTTCCCCTGTGCCCCTTGCCTCCCCATCTCTCCAGAACCTTTGACAGCAACCTCTTCTGGACGCCGCTAGCCTCCTTTGTCTCTTACTTCTCCTCCCTCTCCAACCTCGTCGTTCTGTGAGTGTCCCTCTGTGTCTCTGCTGCACGCTCGTCATGCTGTGAGTGCTCTTAGCATCTGTGCGGCTCTTTCTTGTCGATTGCAAATGCAACCGGCTGTTCTGGACGCCTCTTGCTCTTCTGTCCTTTGTCTTGTTCTTCTCCTCCCTCTCCAACCTCGTCGTGCTGTGAGTGCGCTTAGCATCTGTGCGGGCCTTTCTGGGCCGCTCAAGAAAATCACGCCGTTGGTTTTGTGAAAATCACTTACGTTGCAACTGGCTCTGTGGCACACCGCCCTCCTACCTGCTTAGTTTTGAGGCGCCTCAAAACTATCCATCCTACCTGCTTAACCTCACCTGCTGATCTTCAACTGCCTCAAAATATATTTGCCTCGTCACCCCCACCCTGCCCCACCCCACCCTGCCACCCCACCCTGCAGGGACCTGCAGTACAACTGGTTCTACGGCACACTGCCTGCCTACCTGCTCGACCTCCCCAGCCTCACCAGCCTGTGAGTCCCTCTCTATACCTGTGCGGCTGGTTAATGTTATGTTTGAGAATTCTCAAAAGTGATACCATCATGTGCTGCTCAATTCATGGTTCACTCCTGCTCCCTCACACCTTTCTGCTTTGCATCTTCTTCCCCTCCTCGCCAGCCTGTAACCCTCTCTCTGCACCGTTGCATGCTTTTCTCATTTTCGCCCACTCCCTTTTCCACTCCCTACCTTCTCTCTCCTTCCCTATGCCCACCCTCTACCTCACCGGATCCCTTTCCCTTCTCTTTTCCTCTCTTCGTTTCCCTTCCACAGACCCCTGGGAGGCAACTACATCACATGAACCGTACCCAAACCTGCTTTAACCACTCTCTCCAAACTCACACTCACCCAGAACTTCCTCTGTCCCTCTCCCGCTCCCTTCTCTACCCCCTTCTCTCTTTCCCATCCCCCCTCCTCCTCCTCTCTCTCTCTCTCCCCACAGAGCCCTGGGAGGCAACTACCTCACAGGAACCGTACCCAAGCCCACCTCAACCACTCTCTCCAAGCTCGCACTCACTCAGAACTTCCTCTGTCCCTCTCCCATTCCCTTCTCTACCCCCTTCTCTCTTTCCCATCCCCCCTCCTCCTCCTCTCTCTCCCTACAGAGCCATGGGAGGCAACTACCTCACAGGCACCATACCCAAGCCCACCTCAACCACTCTCTTTAAACTCACACTCACCCAGAACTCCCTCTGTCCCTCTCCCGCTCCCTTCCACAGCGCCCTGGGAGGCAACTACCTCACAGGCACCTCCCTGCTTGCTTCTTCTTCCCCTCCTTGCTAGTTTGTAACCCTCTCTCTGGACATTTGCATGGTTCTCTTCTCTCATTTGCGCCCACTCCCTTCCCCCATTACCCACTCCATCCCTTCCCCGCTCCTTCCCCATGACCACCTCACTGGTTTCCTTTCCCCTCTCTTTTCCTTCTCCACTCCCTTCCACAGTGCCCTGGGAGGCAACTATCTCACGGGCACCGTACCCAAGCCCACCTCAACCACGCTCGCCAAGCTCGCACTCACCAGCAACTTCCTCACTGGCTCGGTCCCATCGCTGCCCTGTAGCTTCTGTGAAGCCACTCAGAACTGCCTTAAAAATGCCGCCTCCTGTAGCTCATCGGGCACCACACAAAGGAGTACGGGGTGTACCTTTTGTGGGTTAACAAGTGGGACGGGGACGCTATGTGGGGGCACGAAAGTGTGCAAGCCGGACGCGAGTGGACCCCTAGCACAGGAAACGCCGAACACTGCAAGCTCGCCTCTGCTCAGCTTGACTTGCGTGTAATATATATGGTTTTTGTTTTGTGTGGTTTGGTTTGGATTTTACTTGGTGGTACCACAGAATAGAGACCACGAGTTGAGTTGCAATTGTGTTGGCTATTTGGAGTTGTCGCAGGTTTTCCATACCATGGAAGGATGTTACCGTACTGGTGTGATGAATCTCACCAGAATAATCCCACCAGTAAAATCCCACTAGAACGAATACCACTAGAAGGAATTGCAGCTGATTTTGATTCTGTACAAAGTTCTTTTGTTTTTTTTTTTTTCATCTGCATGGAACAGTTTCTTTGCACATGGAGTTATGATTTAGAGAAAACTTGCCTTATGCAACCTGTAAAGGCATCGTGCTTCATTTCAAACTGTACAGTAACATTGATTTCCATTGGTACAGCTACAGGAACACCCTGTATCTCGGTTTTGGTAGAAGCACTCCCATCGGGTAAGCATAACAGGCGGAGCAAGAGGAGGCGGCGGGGAGGGTGGTGGTTGAGGAGGGGGAGAGGGTGGTGGTTGGGGAGGAGATGGGGGAGGGAGAGGAGGAGGGGAGGGTGGTGGTTGTGGAGGGGAGGGGGGAGGGAGAGGAGGAGGGGAGGGTGGAGGTTGTGGAGGGGAGGGAGGAGGAAGGGGAGGGGGGGAGGGTGGTGGGTCGGGTGGGGAGGGAGTGGGATAGGGAGGGGGGAAGGGTGGGGAATCGGGAGGTGAGGGAGGAGGATAAGGAGGGGGGAAGGGTGGTGGGTGGGGAGGTGAGGGAGGAGGTGATTGGGTGAGAGGGGACATGAAAAACGAGGCAGAAAGAGGGGGGGATGGGGGGGAAGGGGGGAAAGGGGGGGAGGGAAACGCAGGAGTTTCTTCAGGAGGGGAGGGGGGAGGGAGAAGAGGAAGAGAGGGTGATGTATCGGGAGAGGTGGGAGGGGAGGGTGGGGGTGATGGTGGTGGGGGAGTGGACAGGGGAGGTGAGTCAGAAAGGGGAGGTGATGGGGGGAAGGGAGGTGGGGGGAAGGGAGGCGTTGTTGCTTCAGGAAGCGAGGGGGGAGAGAGAGGAGGGAGGGAGGGTGGTGTATCCGGAGAGTTGGTGGGGGAAGGTAGGGGTGATAGTGATGGGGGGATGGGAGGAGACTGAGAGAGAGGAGGAGAAGGTGGGGAGGGTGATGTATTCGGAATGATACGAGGGGAGGGTGGGAGTGCTGGTGAAGGTGGTGGGGGAGAGGATAGGGGAGCTGAGGCAGAGTGGGGTGGGGAGGTAGAGTGGGGAGGGGAGGCAGAGTGGGGAGGTGATGGGGGTGAGGGAGGGGGGAAGAGCGGAGAAGTTTCTGCTTCAGGAGGAGAGGGGGGAAGGAGAGGAGGAGAATGTGGGGAGGGTGGTGAGTTAGGAGCAAGGGAGGGGGGTGAGATAGGAGCGAGAGAGGGGGGTGAGATAGGAGCGAGGGCGGGTGGTGCAATGGGCGTGTTGGGAGGGGAGGGTGGGAGTGGTAGAGATGGTGGCAGGGGAGGGGAGAAGGGAGGGGAGGCAGAGAGGGGAGGGGAGGCAGAGAGGGGAGGTGAGGCAGAGAGGGGAGGGGAGGCAACGAGGGGAGGTGATGGGGGGAAGGGTGGAGGAGGAACGGGAGGAGTTGCTGCAGCTGTTGCTCCGGGAGGGAGGGGGGGAGGGGAGGGTGGAGGCGGAGGTGATGGGGGGTCCTGGGATTGAGCAGGCGAAGGGGGAGTGGGTGTGGCGGAGGGGAGGGAGGGGGGGGATGGTGGGGGAGGTGAGAGAGGCGGAGGAGGAGAGAAAGTGAGGGAGGGCGGAAGGGAAGGAGGGGATGGAGTGGGAGGCGCTAGAGGGGTGGGGGTGGGAGGAGGAGGGGAGGATGGGGAAGGTGAGGAGGGTGGGGAAGGTGGGGATGGTGGAGAGGGTGGGGATGGAGGGGGAAAGGGTGGGGAGGGTGGAGGAGAAGGAGGGGAAGGGGGGGAAGGTGGCTGGGGGGGTGGCGATGGGCTTGCTGTGGGTCATGCAGAGAAACAGGCGGGGATAGGGAGGCATGCAGGAAGATGGGAAGATGGGACAAAAGAGGGAGAGTGTTAATGGAAGGGGACGTAGGAATGATGGCAATTTACTTTGCTTGCAGGGACATAGAGCATGTCGCATAGCGACTTTTGAGTCGACTCAAAAAGTCACCTTGTCGCATAGCCTGCGATGCAAACGTAAGGGGGGGTTTTTTGCCGAGTAGGAAGATCAGCCCAGTAAAAACACCAACACCACCAGCACCACAAGCAGCAGCGCCAGAGCACACGCACGACCATTGAGGTGTATTTTGAGGCGCCTCAAAATACACCTCAACGCATTCATCCCCTTACCTTTCTGCGAGCTCGTCATGCGATTAGCAGTCTGCACATATCTTGAGAAGGAGCAGCAACCCATGCAGCGGACCCCATCCCCCATCATCCCCTCACCTTTCAGAGTGCATGTCATGCGATTGGCACACAGCACGTATGGTGAGGAGGAGCAGGTACACAGAGCATATTGCATAGCTTGCAATGCTAAGATGCAGCACACACAACACCTCATTTCCCACCGTTACCTTTCAGTGTGCACGTCATGCGATTCGCACACAGCACGTATGGTGAGGAGGAGGAGCAGAAGCAGCCCACGCAAGCAGCGCCACCAATCCCCCATCATCCCCTCACCTTTCAGAGTGCATGCCATGCGATTTGCAGACAGCACGTATCGTGAGGAAGGGCACACGCACCCAAACACCACCTGCGCCTGCTGCCCCTGCCCCTGCCCCTGCTGCTTCCCCCCCGCCCCCGCCCTTTTCCCCGCACCAGCGCCCCCTACAGTCACCGCAGGAGGGGGAGGAGGGTACGTGACAGTAGCCAGGCACGTCCCAGCACCATTTCCACATTGGGAGTTGAGAACCCCACTGTAAGCCCCGGTGAGCGATCCTAAGGTCACACCATTCCCAAGTGGGCTGAAGCTCGTTCCGCAAAAGCTGAGGCACTGGGAGGCGGGCCGCTGCTGTTGAATCACGCTCTGTATTGTCACAGGAGCCGGAGGAGGAGGAGGGGGCGGGCGTGCTGGTGGTGGTGCTGGTGATTTCGGTGGTGATGGTCTCTGTGGTTGCGGCTTGCGGGTTCCACTCTTGCGGGTCCTGCCTGCTGCCCGTGCAGCTGCCAAGCTTCTTTCAGACCTTGAGGAGCCGTGAGCCGACTCGGATATCGCTACATCTTCCAAGCGCTGCCAGCCAGCCTCTGACAAGCCTTGAGCCAGCTCCAAAGTTGCTGCACTTTCCAGGCGCCGACGGCCAGTCTCCACCTGGTCTTCACTCGAAGCAATCTCCGCCTCTTCTTGCCTCCCAGCTATGTCAGAAATCTCTTCGTTTCTCCCCTCAGTCAGACCATCTCTACACAGCACCCTCTCTCCTCCCCTGCCTCGTCTGCTGCGTTGCCTGCTGCTGCCTCCCCCTCGCCCCATGGGACCCAGCAGCTCATTCCCCATGCTGTGGTTGATCCACTTGCCCCCTGTCCGCCTCCCCCCTCCCACTCCCCTTCCCACCATCCTCCCCTCCCGCATCCCCTCTAGTCTCACCCCCTCTAACTGCACCCCCCTCTGTTGCTTCCTCCGCTTCCCCCCATGCCCTAGCAGGCTCATCCTCTCTTGGTGTCTCCACAAGCCCTCTTCCCCCTCATTGCCAGCAGGAGCCAGATAGGCGAGGGCAGGAGCAGAAGCCCTTTGATTCCTCTCATGCCCCACAGACTCCATCCTCTCTCTGTGTCTCAACGAACCCTCCTCCTCGTCATCTACAAGGGAAGCCGGATGGGCGAGGGCGGGAGCAGGCCTGAGAGCCGCATCGGAAGGGGGATCCACGTGCTCTCGTTTCCGCCGTCTCCTGTGCCCCACAACCTCCTCCGCCCTCTCTCTGTGCCACGACGACAGCAGTGTGTCGACGTGATGGGACGGCACATGCACATGCGACACATGGGCGTGCGTGGGCAGGTGAACGGAGCGGCGTCTATGGCCCACAATCTCCTCCTCGTCCTTCTCTTTGTGCTTCCCCACAGCTGCCGCCAGCGGTGCTTCATCTTCATCAGATGGCGCATGGGCGTGGAGATGCCCGGAAAAACGAGGTGACTGTTGAATGGACTCGACAAAAGTCACCTCTTCATCAGAGGGCAGCACATGAGATGCATGCAAAGCATGGTCGTGGCCGTGTCCATGTTTCAAAACGGCAGCCCGCTTTTCACCATCATGGAATGCCGCTTGCACATGCGCATGCGACACATGCGAAGCAGGGGCATGCCCATGGGCGTGGGCATGGCCATGGGCGTGGGCATGAAAGCTGTCTCTGTTCCCTCCAAGAAACCCTGTTCCTTCTCCCCTCCCCTCTTCATGCAATGCCGCACGACCGAGCACAGCACCAGAGCTCTGCTCCTCTGGTACCACCGACAGCTCTGCCTGCTGCTCCTTCTCCTTTTGAGGCGCCTCAAAAGCTGCCTGTTGCTTCTGCTGCTCCTTCTCCTCACGCCCTACCATCTCTGCTCTCTCCCTGTGCCCGGAAAAAGCAGCCCTATTCTCATCATCGTGGGTGGCTGCATGGACAAGGTCGCCACCACAGGCTATCTCCCCCTGATACTCCTCACCTCGTACTGCCTGCTGCTCCTGCTGCTCCTTCTCTCCACGGCCCAGCATCTCCGCCCTCTCCCTCTTCCCTGGGAAGTCTAGCCTTCCTTCGTCTTCTTGTGAGGCGAGATGGTCAGCAGTGGCAGCACCAGAGGTCATCTCCACCTCATGCGCCTCAGAAGGTGCTGCCTGCTGCTTCTGCTGCTCCTTCTCCTCACGCCCTACCATCTCCGCTCTCTCCCTGTGCCCGAGAAAAGCGGCGCGCAATTGCTCTTCATACGATGGCAGGGAGGAGCGGACATGAGGAGAGGAAGCTTCAAGGTCAGCAGTGGTGGCCTGAGCATGCTGCTGCCGCTGAGGCGCCTCAAGAGTCGCTACCAGATGAGCAGTGGGGGCATCAGCGCTAGACCCTGGCTGCCGTTCCCTCTTCTCCTCTTCACGCCCTAGAAGCTCGGCCCTCTCTTTGTGTCCAAACAAGACCCCTCCCACGCTGTGTTTAAGAGATGGCCCAGAGGCGAGGACATGAGGAGAGGAGGTAATAAGGTTAGCAGTGGTGGTGGTGTGAGTTGGGAGCGATTCACTCCTCTTCTCTTCACGCCCCACCATCTCCGCCCTCTCCTTGTGTCCAAGAAATCCCGCTCTCTCTTCATCAGCAGCCCTAGCTCTGCTGCTGCTGCTAATGATGCTGCTGCTGCTAATGGTGCTGCTGCTGGTGGAAATGCTCTGAGCAGTAACACTCGCGCTGCTGCTACCAGTGTCCCTTACTGAGCTGATCCGAACGTTGCCAGAACCACCATCACCACCACCACCACTACCGCTGCTGCTCATCATATCCACGCTTCTCGTTGCAACAGCTCCATCACCAGCACCACCAGCATCGCAGACGGAAGCGTCAAAGGTGAGGCAATTATAGGCGGTGCGGACGGTGAGGGAGAGCGAGGGGCAGATGGGGGCGCCGGAGGCATCGAGGGGAACGGCGGGACCGAAGAAGAAGTTGGAGGAGAGGTCGAGAGAGAGGACCCGTGAAGATGTGGCGCTTGAGGAGAGATGTGGCGGAGGGGAGCGATGGGAGGAGACCCGTGAAGTAGTTGTGCGATAGGTTGCTGGTGGGGGGGTGGAAGGGGGAGGGGGGGATGGGATGGGAAGAGATAAGCGGCGGGGAGTGAGTGAGGGAGGGGAAGAGAAGCTGGAGCAGTCGCATGAGAGGCTGCTGCAGGATGGGGTGAGGGGGGTTCATGGTGAGGGGGGTTCATGGTGAGGGGGGTTCATGGTGAGGGGGGTTCATGGTGAGGGGGGTTCATGGTGAGGGGGGTTCATGGTGAGGGGGGTTCATGGTGAGGGGGGTTCATGGTGAGGGGGGTTCATGGTGAGGGGGGTTCATGGTGAGGGGGGTTCATGGTGAGGGGGGTTCATGGTGAGGGGGGTTCATGGTGAGGGGGGTTCATGGTGAGGGGGGTTCATGGTGAGGGGGGTTCATGGTGAGGGGGGTTCATGGTGAGGGGGGTTCATGGTGAGGGGGGTTCATGGTGAGGGGGGTTCATGGTGAGGGGGGTTCATGGTGAGGGGGGTTCATGGTGAGGGGGGTTCATGGTGAGGGGGGTTCATGGTGAGGGGGGTTCATGGTGAGGGGGGTTCATGGTGAGGGGGGTTCATGGTGAGGGGGGTTCATGGTGAGGGGGGTTCATGGTGAGGGGGGTTCATGGTGAGGGGGGTTCATGGTGAGGGGGGTTCATGGTGAGGGGGGTTCATGGTGAGGGGGGTTCATGGTGAGGGGGGTTCATGGTGAGGGGGGTTCATGGTGAGGGGGGTTCATGGTGAGGGGGGTTCATGGTGAGGGGCAGATGGGCGCATCTGAACAAGTCGTTGAAGGAGAGGCGGCTGATGAGGGTGATGAGGCTGTGTTTGAGGTGGTTCAAGAGTATTGGGAGCGGTACTGAGAAGAAGTGATGTGCGAGTTGATGAGATGAGAGCTCACTCACAGCTCTACAAGGGAGGAATGAAGAGTGTGGGGCGGCGTGGCTGATGAGGGTGATGAGAGCGTGTGTGGGGTGGAATGAAGAGTAGTGGGAGGGGCAAGGAGAGCTCACAGTTCCACAAGTGAGGAGAGGCGGCTGATGAGGGTAGCGGGCGCACCCGTGAAGGCATTCGCAGCAATGTCACTGGCGATCATGGGGGAAAGGGAGAGGGGGCAGGAAAGCATGGGGGGGAGTGTAACAGATGGTGTGATGTGAACGGGTGGGAGGGAGGGAAGACGAGGGAAAGTGGGGAGGGTAAGAAAGAGGGTAAGACAGTCACAGTTGGAGGTGAGAAGAACACGCAGAGAGAGGCGGTGCGGTGCATTCACGCCTGGATAGTTGAGAGAAGCACTCACAGCGTGTGCAGCAGAGAGCAGGTTGCAAGTGACGTTGGCAAGAAGCCATGTAACTGGTTCTGACTCAAACGGCTGGAGGGAAGGGAGGGGGGATACGGAAGATGGACAGAGAGAGGGCATGACATGCATGCTCGCTGTAAAAAAACGCCCATGTGAGTAGAGAGCAGAGCAAGTCGCCGGTGACGGTGGCAGGAGGCCATGCAACTGGTTCTGACAAGCGGATGGGGGGAAGGGACGAGAATGGGGGATCAAGGACAGAGAGGGAGGGGAGCTGAGCTGAAACCAAAAGGAGGTGTGAGGGGGGGAAGAGCATTGAACACAAATGGACCGTCTTGGCTGATATTAGATTAGAAGGGCAGCAGTGTGTGAAATGAAATGATCATGCTTGAACAACAGCATCAACACACTGTAAAACAGACAGCCAAGCCAAGTGAATACTGGACCGCAAGAGACTCTCTGTAAAACAAAACATGACACCAGCCAGTGTCATGCTCACTCACACGCTACTGACGTCACAATCGCATGTTGCTGACGTCACACTCACATGATGCTGACGTCACATTCACATGGTGATGACGTCACGCTCACACGATGATGACGTCACGCTCACATGTTGCTGACGTCACACTCACATGACGCAGACGTCAGTCACATGATGCTAACGTCACACTCACATGATGCTGACGTCAGGCATGGCGCTGGTGAAGATGGGAGGGAGGGTTCCCGACAGCTGATTGGCCGACAGGTCTCTGCTTGGAGGATTGGGGGAGAGGAGAGGAGGAGGGCGGGGAAAGGGACAGGCCAAGGTGGACGGTGGACGGTGGGGAGGGACGGACGGGAGAGGGGAAGGGGGAGGGGAAGGTCGAGGGGAGGGCGCACGGGGAGAGGCAGGGGTTGAGGGGGGAAAGAGAGCGTGGGTGGTCTACTCTGAAACGCCTCAGAGGAAGAAAAAGGAAGAGGGGAGAAGGGGTGGGGGGTGGGGAGGGGGAAGGAGGGATTGGGTGAGGTGATGTGAGCAGAGAAGTCAGGGTTATTGCCACTCACGAGCCTTTGAGCCTTGGTTAAGCATGAGGCAAGGTGAGGGGCGCATGGCGATGGGAGGAGGGCAAGGTTAGGTGCGGCACGGTGAAAAGGGCAGGGGCAAAAGAAGCGAGGAGCTCACATTTCGTAGAGAGAGGTGAGAGAGGAGAGGGCGGATGGGATGGGCCCTTGGAAGGAAATGCCGTTGAGTAGCCTGCACAGCAGCACAGAGAGTCATGCAGATACGAGTCATACGACAGCAGCACAGAGGTTCAGTCAGATATGATGTGGTGGTTATGGATCGAGTGCTGTGCTGTGCTGTGTGCCATGACCAATGTGCGATGATGTGAGGGAGGTGTGCTTACAGCGAGGAGAGTTCTTGCAAAGAAGAGATGCCTTCAGGGATGGAGCCTGAGAGGAGGTTGCGGGAGAGATCCCTGAGGGGGGTGCAGAAATGGGTGGGTGGGGAGTATGAAAGAGACTTTAGAGTATGAAACGGGTGCTCAAAAGTAATCTCGAGGAGCAGAGGCCAGCAGGGATGGAGCCGGAAAGGAGGTTGCGGGAGAGATCTCTGAGGGATGGGGTCGGGTGTTGTAAGCGAATTTCTTCTTTTTTTTCGAGTCGACTTGAAAGTCATTTTGAAGAGCAGAGGGGCCAGCAGGGATGGAGGGAGGCGTGGGAGGAAGGGGGAGGGGGGGGGAGATGTTTGCAAAAGCGCTGAATGCTGATAGCAGCAGAGAGGAACGTGGGGAGGGAGGAAGAGAGGGGAAAAAAAAGGACATAGGGAGAGAGAGAGGTGAGGAAGGAAGGAAGGCAGGTAAGGAGGGAGAGATTTGATGTTCGTACACGTGTTGAATGAGAATAAGCGCAGAGAGGGACGCAGGAGGGAGAGATTTGATGTTCGTACACGTGTTGAATGAGAATAAGCGCAGAGAGGGACGCAGGAGGGAGAGATTTGATGTTCGTACACGTGTTGAATGAGAATAAGCGCAGAGAGGGACGCAGGAGGGAGAGATTTGATGTTCGTACACGTGTTGAATGAGAATAAGCGCAGAGAGGGACGCAGGAGGGAGAGATTTGATGTTCGTACACGTGTTGAATGAGAATAAGCGCAGAGAGGGACGCAGGAGGGAGAGATTTGATGTTCGTACACGTGTTGAATGAGAATAAGCGCAGAGAGGGACGCAGGAGGGAGAGATTTGATGTTCGTACACGTGTTGAATGAGAATAAGCGCAGAGAGGGACGCAGGAAGGGAGAGATTTGATGTTCGTACACGTGTTGAATGAGAATAAGCGCAGAGAGGGACGCAGGAGGGAGAGATTTGATGTTTGTACACGTGTTGAATGAGAATAAGCGCAGAGAGGGACGCAGGAGGGAGAGATTTGATGTTCGTACACGTGTTGAATGAGAATAAGCGCAGAGAGGGACGCAGGAAGGGAGAGATTTGATGTTCGTACACGTGTTGAATGAGAATAAGCGCAGAGAGGGACGCGGGAGGGAGAGATTTGATGTTCGTACACGTGTTGAATGAGAATAAGCGCAGAGAGGGACGCAGGAAGGGAGAGATTTGATGTTCGTACACGTGTTGAATGAGAATAAGCGCAGAGAGGGACGCAGGAGGGAGAGATTTGATGTTCGTACACGTGTTGAATGAGAATAAGCGCAGAGAGGGACGCAGGAGGGAGAGATTTGATGTTCGTACACGTGTTGAATGAGAATAAGCGCAGAGAGGGACGCAGGAAGGGAGAGATTTGATGTTCGTACACGTGTTGAATGAGAATAAGCGCAGAGAGGGACGCAGGAGGGAGAGATTTGATGTTCGTACACGTGTTGAATGAGAATAAGCGCAGAGAGGGACGCAGGAGGGAGAGATTTGATGTTCGTACACGTGTTGAATGAGAATAAGCGCAGAGAGGGACGCAGGAGGGAGAGATTTGATGTTCGTACACGTGTTGAATGAGAATAAGCGCAGAGAGGGACGCAGGAGGGAGAGATTTGATGTTCGTACACGTGTTGAATGAGAATAAGCGCAGAGAGGGACGCAGGAAGGGAGAGATTTGATGTTCGTACACGTGTTGAATGAGAATAAGCGCAGAGAGGGACGCAGGAGGGAGAGATTTGATGTTCGTACACGTGTTGAATGAGAATAAGCGCAGAGAGGGACGCAGGAGGGAGATATTTGATGTTCGTACACGTGTTGAATGAGAATAAGCGCAGAGAGGGACGCAGGAGGGAGAGATTTGATGTTCGTACACGTGTTGAATGAGAATAAGCGCAGAGAGGGACGCAGGAGGGAGAGATTTGATGTTCGTACACGTGTTGAATGAGAATAAGCGCAGAGAGGGACGCAGGAGGGAGAGATTTGATGTTCGTACACGTGTTGAATGAGAATAAGCGCAGAGAGGGACGCAGGAGGGAGAGATTTGATGTTCGTACACGTGTTGAATGAGAATAAGCGCAGAGAGGGACGCAGGAAGGGAGAGATTTGATGTTCGTACACGTGTTGAATGAGAATAAGCGCAGAGAGGGACGCAGGAGGGAGAGATTTGATGTTCGTACACGTGTTGAATGAGAATAAGCGCAGAGAGGGACGCAGGAGGGAGAGATTTGATGTTCGTACACGTGTTGAATGAGAATAAGCGCAGAGAGGGACGCAGGAGGGAGAGATTTGATGTTCGTACACGTGTTGAATGAGAATAAGCGCAGAGAGGGACGCAGGAGGGAGAGATTTGATGTTCGTACACGTGTTGAATGAGAATAAGCGCAGAGAGGGACGCAGGAGGGAGAGATTTGATGTTCGTACACGTGTTGAATGAGAATAAGCGCAGAGAGGGACGCAGGAGGGAGAGATTTGATGTTCGTACACGTGTTGAATGAGAATAAGCGCAGAGAGGGACGCAGGAGGGAGAGATTTGATGTTCGTACACGTGTTGAATGAGAATAAGCGCAGAGAGGGACGCAGGAGGGAGAGATTTGATGTTCGTACACGTGTTGAATGAGAATAAGCGCAGAGAGGGACGCAGGAGGGAGAGATTTGATGTTCGTACACGTGTTGAATGAGAATAAGCGCAGAGAGGGACGCAGGAGGGAGAGATTTGATGTTCGTACACGTGTTGAATGAGAATAAGCGCAGAGAGGGACGCAGGAGGGAGAGATTTGATGTTCGTACACGTGTTGAATGAGAATAAGCGCAGAGAGGTGTGAAGATTGTGAATTGAACAAGTAATTGGATTAGAGGAACAACCTAGCATACATAGTTGGAAGGGAAGGTTGGAAGGGAAGGATGAAAGTGACCATAGGTTGGGTTGACCTCACTTGGGGAAGTGAGGGAACCATAGGTCAAGTGGATTGGGTTGCCCACACTTTGTAGAAGTGAGGCAAGCCTAGGCCCACTTGGCTTGGGGTAACCTCAATTGTGGGAAGTGAGGTACCCACAAGTCAAGAGGGTTGCATTTGGGGGCTCCACCACAATTGGGTGGATTGGCACCCCAAAGTGCAAGACTACACCCAAAGTTGGGTGTAGTCCCAACCCAACTGTACACCACAATTGGTGTACAGTCACATGTGTTGGCATGCTACACAATATATATTTTAACACAACCCCTTAGCATGCTAACACAAGAAGAGAACAACCCCTGAATCAAGGGGCGCCCGGGCGAGCAAGGCCAATGAGGCGGAGGAAGGCAGAGTGCGCGGGGCGAAGGAGGGCCTTAGTGAAGATGTCGGCCAAGTTGGCCTCGGTTGCAATCTTGCGAACGGCAATGAGGCCCTTCTGGACGAGCTCGCGGACGAAGAAGTAGCGGAGTTCGATGTGCTTGGAGCGGGCGTGATAGACGGGGTCCTGAGTGAGATGGATGGTGCTGGCGTTGTCGCACCAGAGAGTGGGGCACGTCTGGGGGGCGCTAAGCTCCGCAAGAAGGAAGCAGAGCCAGCGCGACTCCTGGGCGGCCATGGTGCCAGCGTAGAGCTCGGCTTCGCAGGTGGAGAGAGAGATGGCGGAGGAGCGGGTGGAGCGCCAGCTGATGAGGCCGCTGCCAAGGGTGAAGCCGTAGCCCTGGGAGGAGCGGCGGTCCGGCTGCGTGTCAGCCCATGAGGAGTCACTGAAGCCCGAGAGAAGGGGACGGGAAGGGCCGCCGAGGGTGAGGGCAAGGTCCCTGGTCCCGCGAAGGTAGCGGAGGACCCGCTTGGCAGCTTTCCAGTGCTCCTCAGAGTGACGACCGGTGCCGACAAAGCGAGCGAGCACGCTGATGGGGTAGGCGAGGTCGAGGCGGGTGCACATCATTGCGTACATCAAGGACCCAACGAGCTCGGCATAGGGGTGGGGGGAGGAGGTGGGGGAGGTGGGTGGAGCGAGTTGGTGACCGAAGGGGAGCGGGGTGGAAACAGGCTTGGCTTGCGCCATGTCGAACTTCTCCAAGACCTGGCCGATGTAATGGGACTGGGAGAGGGTGATTGTGCGAGCAGGGCGGTTGCGCGTGATGGTCATGCCGAGGTAGTGAGTGAGGGCGCCAAGGTCCTTGCACTTGAGCCGCTGCTGCAGGGACAGCTTCACCTGCTCCATGTCGGCCTTGGTGTCAGAGAGCAGGATCATGTCGTCGACATATACCAGAATGAAGAAGCGGCGGGGGGAGGAGCGGATGAAGAGGCTGGCGTCGGAGTGGGAAGCAGAGAAGCCGAGGGACCCCAAGGTGGCAGCCAGCTTCGCATGCCACTCACGCGGTGCCTGCTTCAAGCCGTAGACGGGGCGACGCAGCTGCCAGACAGTGTTCTCAGGAAAGGCTGCGTGGAACCCGGGGGGTCGCCGGAGGAAAATGCGCTCATGCAGGTCGCCCTGCAGGAACGCATTGGAGACGTCCATGGAGTCGATTTCCATGTCGTCACGTGCACCAATGTCCATGGCGGCGCGAAGGGTGGGTGGTTTGGCGGTGGGGGCGTAGGTGAACCAGTAGTCCTCAGCCCAAGTCTGCGTGAACCCCTTGGCGCAGTAGCGGGCCTTGTACACTGGTTCCTCGCCCGGCAGCTGCTTCACCCGAAAGACCCATTTGCCGTCAACGAGATTAGCGCCAGCAGGGAGGGGGACATCGACAAAGGAGTCGTTGCGAATGAAAGCCTCACACTCCAGGAAGATCGCTGCTATCCATTTATCCGCATCAGGGCAGGTGATGGCTTCCTGGAAGGTGGAGGGAGTGAAGATGGTGGGGGTAGTAGTGGCGCCAAGGACAGGAAAGCCCAGGAAGTCAAGGTAGAGGGCGGCAAGGAATGGAGTGTGCTCCCGAATGTTAAGAAACTCCTCATGGGAGTCCTCAAGGAGCTGAATGGAGGCAGGAGGAGGAGCCCCAAGGATTTTGTCCACAGAGCGGGTATGGATGTAAGGGAGGAGGAAGGGGGAGGAACGGGAAGTGGCACGACGCCGCTGCTGCTGCTGGTGCTGCGGAA